TGTTTGCACACATACCCCCCCCCCCGCCAAGGTCTTGTCTTTCCGAACATTAATGATTAGACATCTGCCCCATCCTTATTCATAAGCTCTGAAGTTACTGCCATTGATTTTCTGGACTCATAAACACAAAACAGGCAGTCGGTGTTGTGGGTATTATTTTGGATGCTCTGGTGTTACTATAAGGGAGAAATTCAGGGGGGGGATGTTTCCCTGCCCCTTGCGAGAAGTTTCTTTTTTGCCTTTGGGTGTGTTTTTTCAAGGTGTTAGTTTGAAAGTTCTCTTTAGAGGCCTGTGGGATGTTTGTGTGTGTTTCAACAGAAAGGGGGCTTTGTTGATGAAGGTGAAAGGCCCTTTGAACTGGGGACAGAGCGGATGGGCGAGATGGGGGTCTGTGATGGAAACAGGACGGCAGTGGGGGCCCTCTCTCTCTCCCCATTTGGAAGTTGCGCTGGACTCCTGCTGGACAAATTCGGAAGTGTTTGCCCAGAAAGGGCTGGTTTTTCCAGAGGAAACGGAGCCCGGTTCTCAGAAGGATCCTGTGCGGCTCAAATATTACATTCCACTCAGATCTAAATAGGGAAAGCTGCTGTTAATTTGTCCGCCGACGTGCTAACACCCTGCTAGCGTGCGCAGTTCCATTTTTCGCTTCTTTGGGGCCTGCGTTTACCCTCCCCTGCGGTATTCCCAGAGGATCCCCTATCAACTTCTGCCTGTTCAGTTTCCCGGTGGACAGTGCTAAATGCGCAACATTTCATTTTGGGTACCTACCAGGTACTGCAATTTGAGTAGAATCCATCCCACCGGAGCCGAGGTTATGCTCAATGCTGAGGCTGACACGCATTCATACGGGCAGGAGAATTTAGAACACAACGTTCTTCAGACTGTGGGATGTAAAATGTGTGTCGTACTAGAAGCAACATGGGATCAGTAAATGGGAAACAAGGTGTTAACTAAGGTGGTTTTTTGAGCAGAGGGAAGTGGAGAATATATGTTGCAATCTCTCCCCCCCCCCCCCCCCAGCTTTCCCATTTACCGATTTCTGGTTTAGGCAGTGGCAGTTCTTACATACCTTACAAGTGTTCCTTTCCTCCGGGCCCCTCTGGAGTTCTGCTATGTGTGTTTAAAAGTCTGATGTATATGGCATCCGTGAAGTTTTGGGCTCTCGCATGCTGTGTGGCCTTCTCGGCCCCTGTCGTAACATGACAGAAACGATCGCTGATGGATTTTCTTTTTTGGGGTGGTGGTGGTGGATTTTAAAAGGCTCCATCCACCCACCCGTCTGCTCTGCGCTCTGTAATCATCCCTAGCACAGCTTAGATCTGTGCCTTAGAGCTGATTGCTATCAGCTCTCGGTCTTGGCCTTGCATGACAGAGCTTGCTGATTTAGCAAGTGAAGTTAGACCTTTGGAGGGCGAGCGGGTGTGCGTTTGTGTGTCAGCACGTGCAGTTTTTCCATGTGTATCCCCCTCCCCCTTCCTGTTAATCCGCCAGACTTTCTCAGGAGCCCTGTGAGTTCAGAGGTGCGGAGCTCTTCTGCTTAAACTCTGTTGAATACCCAAGGGAGTGTTGACAGGTAGAAGATCCGGGCCCACTTTGGGTCGTTGTTTTCATCAGCGTCACACCAGACTAGAATTAGAGCGATAGTACACGGGAGTAAACGCGATGATTAATATCGGTTAATATTTGCTGGCCTGCTCAGTTTGACACGCTAGGAAGGCAGAGGGATTGTAAAGAAGTTAGAACGTATTTTGCCGGCTGGCGGATCAGAGGTAGCTTTTAAAGATTTTCAGGCCGACTGAGCGTCCACATACGTGGATTTATGTCTGCATGGCTAAACTGGGTAGCCGCGTGCAGTAGTAACAGCCATAATATATTACCGGGATGTACGTCTTACGTATAGCTATGGAGTACAAGAAACAAGCTAGTTACCGGGGGGGGGGGGGCAAACCATCTGACTAGTTAAACTGATATTCCTGTAATGTGTAAATATGAGGTCTTCTAGTTTGGAGTGATGGGGCAGGGCAGTTTGCTTATTCTTCGGTGTTGGACTCCAGATAAATAAGCATACTTGGAGGGGTGGGAAACGCCCCCAGATAAATGCTCCCTCTAAGCTGTGGAGTCTTGTGAGCAAAGATTCTACTTCGTGAGCTACTGGCATTAAAGTTGTGATTGAGCGATTTGACTACTGTACGAATTAGTCTGCTCTGGAGCCCTCCTTCCTGAGCTAAGACAAAAATGTGAGAGCCAGAGGCTTAAAAATTGTGAGCTAGCTCACACTAACTCAACTTAGGGGGAGCAATACCCCCCCCCCTGGTAATATTGAAAAAAAGTCTTTGGACTCATTTGGAAGTCGGTTCTGCTGGCATTGGCCAGACTGATTTCTGAATCGATGTGTTTAAGATGAGGGCCTAGCTTGGCCTATCTGGGACACTATTGCGGGTTGCAAACGGTGTTTGTTATATATTCATCTTGGAGAAAACGCGTCGGTGAAACACATTGGTTGTAATTGCAGAGACCGAGCCCTTTTGCACGAAACTCTCCCGTAGCATCGGGGTTTACAGAAGGGAACGGATTTAATGTTGACAAGCCACGCCTTTAAAAAAACCCAACAACAATTCCATGCTGCCATAGCTGAAAAAGGCACTTTCACTTAAGAGCGAACCGGATCCCCCACTGCGGAGGGCTTTCTGCACTTGGGTGTAAATACGTTTGGGTTTTTAAAGGCACCGAGGGCCCCAAAGTTGGAGGCAGCGTCTTGAAACTATCACCACTCAGTTGCAGTACAGAAAGGAGGCTGAAAATAGCGTTTTGTTAACCGCACCATTTAAAAAGTCACGTAGGCCAAATGCTATGGAACGCTGGTGTCCTTGTTTTATAGGAGGAAGGCAGGGGTCGTATGCGTGTGTCTGAATCTTCTTAAATTTGCTGCTAAATGACCCTAAAGGTCAGCAGGTCGCAAAGGAACTTGCCCCTAATAACACGTGATTAGTATTGCAATGAAAAGCATATCTAAAAGGAAGGAACGTTAAATAATTATATTAACATAGAGTTGTAACGGTTTAGTAACATGCATCTGGGAAGGAGAACGGCGAGGTGGGACCGAGGTCCTCCAAACAAATCCCCTTCCAACAAATTCTACATCACGTGGTGGGGCTAGGACATCTAGACACTGACATTTCTTTTCGGAGTACTGGTGTTTGCACAGAAACTGGTGCATCCAATTCTCAGGTCGTACTGAACACAGTGGGATTGTCCCACAGTGAGTGCTGATTGTAGTTGTGGTTTTCAGTACCACAAGTCTGAATGCTTTTTTTGCTGCCTTTGGTGATACGAATAGTAACCAAAAAAAGGGGGATTTTAAGATAGTCTAATCTGCGTGAAGCAGTAAAGCCACGCTCGGTAGCACTGGAAATAGTTCAGGGTCTCTCCGCATTTCCACCCCAAACCTCGCTTTTCCAAGTTTATAACTCAGCTGGTTTAAATAGCTTCAAGCTGAAACTCGGCGTATAAATCGTAAGCGCAGATGTGACACACACACACACCCTTATCAAACGAAGCGCCGTTCGAATCGGTGACTCATTTTTTAAGTTACAGGCTGGCGT